ATATATATATATATATATATATATATATATATATATATATATATATATATATATATATATATATATATATATATATATATATATATATATATACATATATATATATATACATATATATATATATATATATATATATATGCAATTTTGCACCGTTTTCCCGCCATCTCTCGATTGCCCTTTCCCTGCTCGTCTTCGACCTCACCGAAAAATCCGATCTTTATCGTCCCCTCCGCAATCCTCTCTCCTCCGCCCCTTCTCCCTCTCTTCTGCTCATATCCCATCTCTGACAACCCTAATGCTGAATCCTTCTTCGTCGACTCTCCCACCTTCGATCGCCTTCGCTTCCACGCGATCCAATCCTCCGTCTGCCTCTCTCCCCCGCGCGCGCACACTCTCTCTCTCCTCGATGGGCTGCAGCTATTCCCAGCTCGAAGCCGACGGGGAGACCCGCTCCAGCCTCCGCCGGGTCCAGGACCAGCGGCGGCCGATGGATGGGCGGGTCTTCAAGGGCAGCTTCGTGTCCACCGCCAACCTCGTCCCCTCGGAGTGCTCCGAGGCCGGGGACGACCATAACACGACGCAGCAGGCCCGGAAATCCACCTCCGCTCATGCAGCGTCTGGTGCGCCCAATCGAGCGCCGAAGCAGGTCCAGGAGTACGAGGGGAAGAAGAAGAAGAAGAAGGCAGGATCAGGGCCAGGGTTGAAAGACGAAGGCAAAGGTGGGAAGGCGGATGAAGAAGAAGAGTTTCCGGGATCGCCGAGCTTTAGGTTTTACACCGAGGGGCCATGGGTGAACAACGACTCCGCTGATGCCTCAGGTCACGGGAAAGACCAAGGTATCACCTTCTCTATGTTCCTGTCCTTGTTGCTTCTTGTTCTACATTCCGTGAATGCTATGCAGTCCAAGATGGAGAAGAGGTCTGATAAATTCCACTACTTGGCTTGGTCGATCATTTAGATAAATGCCGCAAAAGTACATTTTTTTTAGATGAAGAAAATGGAATTGATGTTCTGCTGATTGTTTGCCTTAGTTTCTGACCTGAAAGGGGATCTTTGTTATGAACCTTTATAAGAAATGCGTTGTTCTTTATCGCAGTTTCGTGTTTGTAGAAAAAAAAATCGAATGACAACTGTTTGCAAAAGAAAAGGAAGTGCTTATCTGTTCTTATCTGTTTTCATATTCATGTAAATTGGATCTTTTAGTATCTATTTTGATGTAAGAGCTTTCTTGCTGTACCTATTCATCTTCTTGGACATTCTATAATAACTATTGTTCCGCTCTAAAGATCATTTGTCCTTGTCAATGTTTAGGATAAGACCGTCGTTTAATTTAGGACAAGATTAATCTAATAAATTGCACAAGGCTTTCTTTTCATCTGGGTAGCTGCTAAAATGACTGTCATTATTGGAACCTCAATGAGTATTGGGGTGTGTTTTTCATGATTGTAATAATTATAGTTCTATAAAACATTACATGAATATGTTTGTTAGGAATTTATGACAACTACACACTACATTACGATGTATTAGTTACCTACATGTTGTTCTGCTTTAAACAAGCATCACTGCATATTGTGTTGTCACCAATCCATACACACATACCTAGCAATCTTTGGCAAAATCTAGCATTCTGACTTGTGATAATTTTTTGCTTCAAAATATTTGTCAAGTGATCCAAATTAGTGACATTTGCAATGATATCCAAAGGGATACACATCTTTTTCTCTTAGAGATTTGGCTTCTTCAATTTCAAAAAGTAGTTTGGAAGCATACTTTACACTATGCAAGTTGCGATCATATAATATTCTGGATTGCTGCAGGGAAGACTGATGAGAAAAAAAGAAAATGATTTGCACCAAGAGGATGATAGCATCACATCCTCGAGTTTGAGCAAGGTATGCTGCTAATTTGCACCGCAATGTCATCTCAAATCCACAAGTGTTGATTGAATGGAATTAGGAGTCATAAGGAGTGCTTTTGAACTGTCCATAAATTTCACATATGATCTTTGACTTTGTTGTTCAGAAGTGGTCAGCATATCTTATTTACTTACTCCAAATTAGAATCATATGCTCCAAGATGTGTTTATAATGACTATGGTTTAAATTACTACAAGGAAAAGGATTACCAATAGCACTCTTGTTTCTTACATTGGTTTTATGGACTTTTACAGGAGAACCTGAATGCCAATCAAGAAGGGAAGGAGATTTAAAGCTCTACCAAAGGGATCCAATGTTGTATATAATAGCGTGATGAATCCATGATAGTGAAAGCCCATCTTTTGTAAATCCCTATCCTTTTAGCCTTTTGAGGATACTCTTTTAGCATAACTTGTTTCTTCTTGTACCTCTTGGAAAATGAAGTCCCAGAGAAAAAACCTTTTTCATGTCATTGAACTGGTAGATTGCAGAAGCTCGTCTCCTGTACTTGGTGGTGTTGACTATTTCCTCGGTGATCAGAACAAACCAGAACCTGAAATTTGATAAGCGCTCCAACTATAATTTTTCTTAAATTTTGTCAAACATGTGCACTTGTGAGTCGTGCCTTTTCTCATTTGCTGTAGGAGACCAGAAAAAAAGGCTCTTTTTTTTTTTGCATGCGATTTATGCCAAAATATTTTAAGCCTTGTCTCATGGCTTTGGTAAGACTCTAATATATTGCTTTGTATTGGAAAATATTTGTGTGAGAGATAAAACTAGAGATGGATTTGAAATTAATATGATGTAACAAAGAAATAAAACAGTGAGGCTTTGTTGTTGGTGATTTCTGTGCGCAGTGAGGCTTTCTTTCCTCCGGTCTCTCTCCTTGTCGGTGTAGACATATGTCAACCACCGTAGCCCATCATGTTCCTTCTCTCTCTACGTGACAGTATCATTTCGTCATTCACGGTGGAACCCATATCATAGCGTGCATAATTCAAGTCGTTCGTTGCGTTAAAATCCTGCAAGCTTAGCTTTTGATTGGCGTCTAGGAATCCAAGTCTAAATTAATAATAGTCCTATAAACCAATTTAACTATCCTTCCACATGAAACTAAGTTTGGAATGTTATAATAACAAGCATAGTATCTAAACATCTAAGCTAATAATTAACTCCAGATCGTGATATACTTCTTCGTATTCATATGATATCTGAGATACCATTTGTTTTGACCTAATCTTAACTGATCCATTAATTCAATGAATTTGAACAACTAATCCAACATGTTTTGGATTTTATATTTGTCCAATCTTTATTCATAAAACAAACAGCAACATCATTGTGTAAGCTACCAGTGATCAGAACTGCAATATTCTAATGTGTCTCAGACAGACCTCCTCTGTTATCAAGTCACACACACACACACGCTTTATATTTGTATATGCCTCCATGACCGATAGATCTTTAGATAAATTTAGCAATATTGCTGAAATGATTTAAAAGAGCACAGTTTAAACAAACAGTTGACATAAATCAAGATCCAATCAGAGTAGGGAGGAAAAGACTACATACAACATATGAATGCATCGATGGAATGTAAAAGAATAGCTAACAGAGAAGACAATCAAACATACAATTAAGGTAATCATGTCATGATCTGGGAATTAACCGAGTCAAGCATACATAGTAAGCATGACTTGGGAATTAACCGAGTCAAGCATACATAGTAAGCATGACTTGGGAATTAACCGAGTCAATCTGAGGAATCATCAAAAACAAAAGAACCTCTATTCCAAAATTAACTGAAAGACCAACTTGAGCAATATCCAATCACATCACCACACAGGCATGAATAGATGTGCAAAATAGAGAGGTTATTGGCCTCTCAAAGAAGAAACAAACAGAAAGCAGAACCTTTCAATCAAAAACGCCAGACTACCACATTTACGAAGCACCAAAATGGTTGTGAAAGTAATTACTAAATAAAAATGCCTGAACAGAATAGTAGTAAGCATATCAAACACTTGGATGTAAACTTTTGAATTACGAAACTTCAATCTATTTTCCTTTCTTTTTTTTTTGTCTCTCTTCTGTTTTCTTTCAGCATCTCTACTTTTTTCCCACCATCATCGAATGTAATCAATCTTTTTTGTTCTCATCTTTTTTATCCATACCAGCTGTTTTTCAATCAATTCCATTATGATTCTTTTTTCTTTATGTCAACCATTTTTTCCTCCATTGTTTTCTTCTATCAAACAAAGATCATGACAAACCTTTTCTTATGTTCTCTGTTTCTTTTTTTTTTCCCCTTGTAACTCCATTAAGAGAATATAAATGTCCAGTTGTAGAATAATTGACCAAAACTGCAAATCGTCAATGCTGCTTGGATGGCATTCAAATCCTTTCCTTCTCTTTCATGTTCAAGTGCAATCACAATCAAGTGGAGCAAAACCGAAGATTATGCGCTATAAAAAAGTCGCTAGTGAAGCCAACAAGAATACATTCAGTCAAAAAGAAACCATGGTGCATGAAAAGAAAATAAGGTAATTGATGATATCAAAGATAAACTTATTACTAGTAAAGATAAACTGCACGTCAGCTCTCTAGCCATCCTGATACAGCTACAATGTTCTATGGTAAGTGTAATCAAGAACAAAGTAACATTTGTATTAATATTAATCACATTTGCTGCTACTCAAAAGTAATCAAAAGAAAATCAGATTTGCAAAAGATACAGAGGAAAGCAATACAGGTGCCACCAGCTCAAATTTGCCTTAATTTGGCTTTTCCTCATAAAGGAATTCCATAGTTAAACCTGCTCCCACAACTAACAAAATGTGCTCCTTTGATCCAAATATTCTTCTCTATTGTCGATGAAAAAACATAAGTTTGGTGCCAGACATGCAGGGTGCATGGGGCAATTTTGTATGCGGAAGCCTCGTTGAAAACAAAAGATAATACAGAGGACGACCTGTGCACAATGGAAAAAGTAGCTACTGAGTAATGAATTATTTGGTGATAGAAAACACACGTAAAAAATGTTGTACAGCTACAAACAGCAGTGATAAACCAAACTAGTGAAAATCAAAATAATGATTCCAAGTTCCAACAACCCAAAGATACTCATTTATACTTTTTGTGCTGCTCCAAATCTTCTGCCAAATGACTACAACCAAAGGTGCATGATGTACAACAACCAAAAGATGAAATTGCTAAATGAATACCCAATATGATTATTTGGACCTGTCAAGGTAGTAAACTGAAATCCGAAATAGGTTCTGTTATATTTCAGAGCCTTATTCCCTTTCAAGGAAAAAGTTTAACAATGAGCAAAATAGATTTGTAGAAATGTATTTCAAGCATGGAGCTTTGAGAGGCACATCCCAGCAATAGATAAAAAAAAATTGCCACAAATGTAGTTTCTTGAGATACAAGTGACCGATGTGATGCTCCTCATTTAGCTTTTCATTCTTTCTGCATATAACATGTCTTTTATTGGAGAATGAATGACACAAGGGAAAAACTAGGATTGGATTAGGTCTACCAATTGACCAAATGTTGAGCCAAAGAAATCTGATAAAAACTAGGATGGACTACATTTTTTTGGATCAAATTTTTAACCTGGCAGCCCAAATTTCAATCCCATCCAGTTACCCAGCAGTTAACTGTATTTGATATGGATTGGCCCCAATCTGATCTAGTAATAATCAGAATCAGGACTAACCATTAGCTACATTACTTTGCATATATACTAAAACCATTGGGTATCGGTGATAGCTTCATAATAACAACAGGAGCCTAGACCTTCGAATTCCAGTCTCATGGGCAGTGGCATGTCTCATCTTTGCTGTCTCCCAAACCTTTCCCTCACATCTCCCTTCCCCTGCCCTTATCATTTCACAGGCAGAATGAAAGGGGCGGTGCAGGAGTCTTATCCCTCTTTCACACTCTCTACTAAAATAAGAAATCACAGTTCTGGCACAGGTGTAGCAGGAGAAAATTACAGCGAGTATTCCTCTAGCTCCCTCCCTCTTCCTCTTCTCATCTCTTCTCTTTTTAACTTGTTCTTTCTTAGTCTCAAATCTCTTTTGTTACATTCCTGTGGAAAGAGCTAAGGTCTAGATGAATATCTGTTAGGACTAAATAGAAATCTGATAGTAACAAATTAGTTCCTACCTGAAGCTTATAAAATGATATATTCCTGCTTTATACTTATTTATGATGTCTTGCATCTAGTTATAACTTATTCTAACTGCATACGGGTTGTGTTTAAAAATTCCTTTCTTAACCTCTTTAATCATTTATCATTTATATATACATATTGCTGTAACTTGATCACATTGATCTTGATACTGCAGGGCTTTACTAAAACCATTTTGCCAATTGAGATTGGAACAGAAACTAGGAATTCACTTATTGGAATCAAACTTACAGATTGAAAGCTACCATAAAAAGCCACATTATCAGCATAAGAATATTTCATTAAAACTATTGGACCAAAATGCAAGTACCGTGCTCAATGATTCTAGACTGAGTCCCATCACATAGAGGTACAAGAATTTCACCACTGGAAGCTGGTGCCTATCAAAGGACGTGCAAGAAATATTATATTACATATAGTTATAAAGACACTAGATCCCTGGGGAATCACTTGTCTTGGTCTCCTAAGTTGCTAGAATTTCATCACCTGGAGCTGGTGCCTTTTGGTGATGGGCTAGTAAAGTTTTGTTAGAGATAGTGAAAAAGGCATTAAATACCCAGAGAATCAGTGTCTCAGTCTTCTTACTGTGCTCAAAGAAAAAGGACAGCAGACATTTACTGTCACAAACAACGAATCAAATATTTGATAAGATTTGGACCTTAGGATTTGATCAAGGGTATCATAATAATGCTTTAACATACTGTACATGCTTGATCTAGTTAATGAAAGCACCAAATTATGTAGTAGCTATTGGCGTACTTTGTATATTTTTCTTATATTACTGCAATCAATATGCTAAACATGACCTTAAGTAATGCAGTGCAAATATCTAATTAGATGGGACCTAAATATCTTAAATAAGAGAATAATCCCTTTTGTGTTGTACTACTCGATAACCATAGGTGAAAATTTAATTAAAAAGCAAATGAGTAATTACTCTATAGTCAATAAAATATATTGATTTGTTTAAGTGCCAGAGATATCTTGTTACTAGGAATTTCTTAACATGTGATGCCTTGATTATTCTATTGGAAAGTAGTGGATCCCATTAGCCCCAACTCATGTAATTCCATATAGGTGGGACAATACCATTAGAAAGAAAAGAAAAACACATCCAAATTTCTAAAAGTAGGTGCTGCATAATCACCTGAGGAGTGAAGCAAATTATGGCTGCTAAACAGCTAAAGCATTTGGGATGATGATTACCAAATGACCACTAAAATCTAAGAGGACCAAG